CATCACGCCCTTCATAGGCGACACTCGGAGAAAAACCTTCTTACCCGCCATGTAGGCCACATCTCTAACCTTCTGGTTCGTATAACTCTTTTGCCTGGACTGAGTTGTACGAAGTCGCTCCTGAATCACCATAACCTTTTTCAAAGCATTGCGGACGAAATCAGTGCCCAACAATATAGCTTCACCGGGCTCAAACTAACCAATCGGCGAATGACATCACCTCCGATACAAGGCCTTATACGAAGCCATTTAGATGCTCGACTAATAGCTATTATTATAGGAAAACTCCTCTAAATGTAAAAATTGGCCCCATTGACCCCCAAAATCTATAGGGCATGCCTGCAACATGTCCTCCAATATCTGAATAGTGTGCTCGGATTTGTTGTCCGTCTGAGGATGAAACACAGTACTCAACTCGACCCATGTGCCCAACTCAAGCTGCATGGCTCTCAAAAATGCAATTTGAACTTCATGCTCCGGTCAGAAATGATGGAAATGGGCACGTCGTGCAGGCGGATAATCTCCCGTATGTAAATCTAAGCCAACCGCTTTGAAGAATAGGAAGTTATAACCGGAATGAAGTGTGCAGACTTAGTCAACCAGTCCACAATAACCCAGATTGCATCGTATTTCCTCAAAGTTTGTAGTACGTCTATCATAAAATCCATAGTGATGCGCTCCCACTTCCACTTCGGTATCTCTAATATTTGAGTCAACCCACCCGGCTTCTGATGTTCATACTTCACTTGTTGAAAATTCAAACACCTAGAGACATGAATGACAATATCTTTCTTCATCTTTCGCCACCAATAGTGTTGTTTCAAGTCACGTTACATCTTCGTTATACATGGGTGAATGGAATAGCGCGAACTGTGAGATTCCTCAAGGATCAACTCTCTTAACCCGCCGACATTTGGAACACAAATACGGCCTTGAAACCGCATAACACCATCATCTCCAATCACAACCTCCTTAGCATCACCCCGTTGCACCGTGTCCTTCAACACCAACAAATGAGGATCATCCAATTGGCTAGCCTTGATATGCTCCAACAACGATGATTGTGCCACAACACAAGCAAAACCCGGCTAGGCTCTGAAATATCCAACCTCACGAATCAATTGGCCAAGGCCTGAACATCCATCGCTAGTGGCCTCTCCACTGCCGGTAAATATGCCAAACTGCCCATGCTCTCTTTCTTTCTACTCAATGCATCGACCACTACATTGGCCTTCCCCGGATGATATAGTATGTTGATTTCATAGTCTTTTAACAGCTATAACCATCTCCGCTACCGTAAATTAAAGTCCTTCTACTTGAACAGGTATTGGAGACTCTGATGGTCGGTATAGACCTCACATAGAACATAGTATAGATAGTGCCTCCAAATCTTCAATGCGTGAACAATGGCTGCCAACTCCAAATCATGCACAAGGTAATTCTTCTCGTGAACCTTCAACTAACGATAAGCATAGGCAATTACCCTAGCATCATGCATCAACACCGCGCCAAGCCCAATACGCAATACATTATAATACATAATGTAAGATCCCGAATCTGCAGGCAACACTAACATTGGGACTGTAGTCAATGCATTCTTGAGATTATGAAATCTTACCTCACACTTGCCGGACCATCTAAAAAGAGCACACTTCTGGGTCAACTTGGTTAATTGGGCTGAGATAGATGAAAACCCCTGCACGAACATGCGATAATAACCCGCCAAATCTAAGAAACTTCGAATCTCTATAGCTGAAGTAGGTCTAGGCCAGTTCTGAACTTCCTCAATCTTCTTTGGATCCACCTTGATGCCTTCAAAATATACAACATGTCCAAAAAGGCAATCGAGTCCAACCAGAACTCACATTTTGAAAACTTGGCATATAACTGATGATCCTTCGGAGTCTGAAGTACAATTTATAGGTGTTGCTGATGCTCCTCTTCTCTATGAGAGTAAACCAAAATATCAACAATAAAGACGATCATGAAGGAATCCAAGTAAGGCTTAAATACCCGGTTCATCAAATCCATAAAGACTGATGGGGCATTAGTCAAGCCAAATGACATCACCAATGACCATACCGAGTCTAAAAAGTTGTCGTAGTGATATTCGGCTTAAAATATGTATATCTATATGCATATTGCCTCACATTTTACTCATGTTTCATAGATTTAGGATGTGTAATATAATGATTTGTGCTAATTTGTGGTATTTTTATGTGTAGGAATCATCTGGAGGAAATTTGGGACGAAGGTGCATGAATGGAAGTGAAAAGGGGAAGAAACGAGAAAAAATCACAAAGTAGCGCCACAGGTAGCGTGGGGCGCTACCTGTGGCGCAGTTTCCAGACCCTTAAAATTTCCAGCACCAAGGCTAGCGCCCCACGCTACACTGGGCACTAGTGACAGGAACTTGTCCTATTTCGCCAGGGACTTGGATATTTCAACCCCAAGACGCCCCCAACTCATATACAACCAAAACTAAACCTATTTTGGAGGGGGTGACACCACTTTGAGAGGAAAACACAAGCACGGAACACTCGGGAGCATGGAATTCATCGATTCTTCCATTCTTCATCTAGTATTCATACCTTTTATGTTTAAAATTATATTTTGATTATGGTGATGAACATGAGTGGCTAAGAACCTCATTATTCTGAGGTTATGGGTCATTCTTGGCTATTGTAATTTGACGGTTGATGGTTTTGCTTGATTTTATCATATTAATTTGTTTATTCAATCTTGCACTTCATTATTCTATTGCGTACCTAACAATAGAGTACTATCGACGAATTTATAGTTGAACTCAAAAGTGGGAACTATAAATTGCATATAGGTTTGAATAGAGTAAGTTCTTTAATCCGGGCATCAAAGAATAGATTCGTGATTAGGATAGACATATTCTAGTTACCTTACTTGGTTATTTTTGCAGTAAGTATATATGCATTCTTATCAAGTTTGATTCTATAGACATATAGTCTCCGATTGGCTTGAATAGGTGAACGAAACGTCGAAAGAACTTCACGAGCATAATAAACCCTGCTAATCAACAAATTAGATAAGGCAAGTGAGTTCATCAACCTGAAAAGTGCATTAGGAGAGACGTCAATCCCATAACCCTGGAATATCTCTATCTCATTGAATTCTTTCTAAGTATTTGTTTGCACTACGTGCAGTCTTATTTTTTTTGCTTGCTTATTAGTTCGTAGTAATTTAGTTATAAAAATCACAATCATCTTCTTCACACTCACTTGAAAATTAAATTTATAAATAGTTTAGATTGGACAATAGTTGATTATAAATTCTCGTGGGAACAATACTTTTTATCACTTTATTACTTGTCGACCGCGTATACTTGCGTGTGCATTTGGACCGAGCAATTTTTTGGCGCCGTTGCTGGGGATTTGGAAATTAGTTATTTGTCTGAAATAAGCTCTTTTATTTTTGTTCAAGTGTTAATCTGTTTTACTGTTTCTGACTCTATAGATGTTCACCTTGAACTCTAAAAAGAAGCAACAGTTTGAACAACCTTCCTTCTCTTGATCCTGAACCCGAAAGACTCTTCCACATGTTAAAGAGGGAGGCAGAAGAAAGAGCAAGAATTACAGAGTTGGGTATTGTAATCCAATCACAGCCAATCAAGATGGCAAAAAATGAAGAAAGACCGGTAATTGAGGTCGCAAGGCCTAGTCTCGCGAACATGACTCAGGCTATCGTGAAGCCTGATATAACTGGGCACTTTGAGCTGAAACAATACATGGTGCAACTGATTCAATCCACATGATTATTTTTGGGGTTGTCAAGTGAATATCCCCAAAGGCATATCCAAAATTTCTTGGAGATTACGGATATATACAACTATCCGAATGTCTCTAAGGACTATGTCAGACTAACTTTGTTTCCCTTTCTCTAATGAGGGAAGCAAAGGAATGGTTAAACAAAGAGCCCGCAAACTCAATCTACACTTGGGATGATCTAGTACGAAAATTCTTAATCAAGTTTTTTCCCACTAAGAAGACAAAGGCACTGAGGAGTCAGATTCTTGGGTTTCAACAACAAGATGGTGAGACTCTTCGTCAAGCTTGGGAAAGATACAAGAAACTCCTCAGAGAATGCCCACATCATTGTCAGACAGGTGAGGTAATAGGACATACGTTTGTGGATGGGTTGGACGAGACCTCCAAATTGAATCTAGACTCAGCTTGTGGAAGGAGTTACATGCAAAAGCCATATAGTGAGATTCAAACTCTGCTCAACAATTTCACTACAAATGATCATAACTGGCAAGGTGAGGGTTAACCAAGAAGGATGATAAAACAGAATGTAGTAGGTACACTTGAGCTAGATGAGATGTCTGCCATGCGGGCAGAAATATCTAAACTTACCAACCAAATGGAAAAGATGGCAATGGGTCAAGGGCATCAAATGCAGCAGGTTCAGAGGATGGCCATATGTTGTGAAATTTGTGGAGAAGGTTACACGAGTGATCAATGCCCTGTGAATCTAGAATCTATTTATTATGTGGGCCATTAGAGTAGAGGTCTAATAAACCAAAATACACAATACGAGAACACCTATAATCCCATCTGGAGGAATCGACTAAATTTCTCATGGAGTGGAAACCAGGCCACTCAAAATTAGTGCACACCTCAAGGGAACTACAATCAACCCCAAAGGCCACCACAACAGATAGAAGAAAGCACCAATGATATGTTAAAAAGCTGCTAATTGACAACTAGCAGCTTCGAAAAGACAACCAGTAGTTAAGGACTGATTTTTGAAATTTAGAAAGGCATATTGGGCAGTTAGCTGCACAACAAAATACCCGACCTACTGGATCACTCCCAAGTGATATCGAGAAAAATCCCATAAAACACGTGTAAGCAATTAATCTAAGAAGTGGGAGAGAATTGGAGGAGCCTCCCTCCCAAAAGCATGTATCCGAAAGAGAGTTGGTGCCTAAGCTAGTAAAAAAAGCCGAAAAGAAGGATGATGAACACATGCAAGAGATAGAGGAAAATCCACCACCACCTTTTCCTCAAAGGTTGCAAAAGTCAAAAGATGAGTCCAAGTACAAAAAATTCTTAGATATCTTGAGCCAGGTGCATGTGAATCTACCTTTGATAGAAGTACTGCAAGAAGTACCTAAATATGCCAAGTACGTGAGAGACATTGTGGCCAACAAAAGAAGGTTGACAGAGTCTGAAACGATTGCACTTACTGAGGAGTGCATTGCTAGAGAACAGAGCAAGCTCCCGCCTAAGTTGAAGGATCCAGGTTGTTTTATAATTTCCTTGGCGATTGGAAAACACGAGGTTGGTAGAGCCTTTTACGATCTGGGAATACGCATTAGTTTGATGCCACTATCAATGTTCAAACATCTCGATCTTGGAGCCCCCAAGCCTACTACTATAACTCTACAACTAACGGATCAATCATTAGCGGTGCCTGAATGAATTATTAAAGATGTGCTGGTGCGAGTGGGGAAGTTCATCTTTCCCGCCGATTTCATTATTCTTGACTACATGGCCGATGAGAAGGTTCCACTTATTTTGGGGAGACCATTCCTGGATACTAGTAGAGCACTTATTGATGCGAGGGAGGGTAAACTAAAGATGAGAGTGCATGATGAAGAAATCACATTTAATATGGACAAGGCGCTTAACCTTCCTAAGCATTATTAGGATTTGTGCATGATCTCTATGGTAGAATCAAAGTTGATAGAGCAAGGTACTTACATGGAGCCTATTGGCATGGAAAAGAAAATTGAGTTAGAAGAAGTGGTGTTGCGAGCTGAAGGTGTAAAGATAAAAGAGAAAAGGGTCATAGAGGAAAGAGGAGATCCTCCTAGAGTGCGCAAAAAGTCAAAACTACATGGAAAGAGGAGGAAATGAAAGTGCCCAGCCTGAGCAGAGTCGCAGAGTCATGCCACGACTATAGATAAGGCTCTTCTTGGGAGGCAACCCAGCATGTATTTTATTTACTCGGGGAAGTCTGAGTACTCGAAGTTGAAGCTGAGGAGCATGTTGAGCTTAAGTGTGGGGTCGTAGTGACCTTTAATATTGAGGATCATGTGCTAGCTAGGCCCTAGAGGGTCTTAGGGAGTATTTCTCATCCTTATTTTAATATTTTTCTATGTGATTATGCATCGAGGATTACACATATCATAAGTGTGGGGTGAGGGAACTACTTTCTGACCTGTAATTGTATAAAACTATTTTTTTTTATTTTATTAGTTTTATTTTAGAACCCATAGTTAGAAGTAGTCTAGTTAAGAGTAGTAGACTCTTAAAAAAAACGAAAATAGAAAAAACAAATCAGAAAAAGCTCGAACTTTTCCCGTGATGGATCTTTTAGACAGTTTTCTTGAGGGATTAAAGTTCGATTAAAAATACCAAAAAAAATTTGTTTGCTTTTATTGGGATGTCACGCCCCAACCTTGAAAAGCGCGACCGGTGCTCAATCGAGTGAACCTGACCGAGCAAGCCTGTTAGATACTTTCTACCCAATTCACCCATGATCAAGACAAGACGTGATTTCATTAATTAAACAGTAGGAAGCTCATTCATACAATCCTAAATCGTTTCTTTAGACATTGCGCCTTTAAGTCTCAAAATACACATTTCTTATAGTTCAAGTGGAACAAGTGATCAAACACAACATAACTTGTTTAGCATTCCCAACACCCATATACAACCTACATAGTGTCAACGAAGCCTCTAAAGATAAAAAAAGAGAGTAAAGATGGTGCCGGCAACAAGGCCCCGGCTATACCTCATAATGTGACAACAATATAAAAAAAAGGTACAATACTTGATCCCGGAATGAAATGGGGCTCACTGAGTCTGCTGAGAAGAGGATGCAGCACTATCTGTGATCCACATTGTCTGCTATGTAATCACCTGCATCCATTTAAAGATGCAGCGCCCCCGGCAAAAGGGACGTTAGTACGGTCGAATAGCACTAGTATGTAAACCTAAACACCAACTCAATAGAATGAATAATAATACAAAAGGAACCGTCAAGAATTCAATAAGGGCTTCAAATAATAGTAAAATGACAAGTTAAGGATCATATACGCTTTCAAGACAATTTCCATATTATTAAGTTGGGTGATCTTTAGTACCGATATTCCACAATTCACAATACCTCCGTATTCTTACACGGAGTCCGATCTCGGCCCGATCGGCTAGGCCATCTCATTTGAGACATTACCACAATTTCATTATAACTTTCCAACACAGTACCACTATGTGTGCGGCATGGCGTCCGATCACGACCCGATCGGCTAGGCCATCTCATTTGAGATATCAACCCTTTTCACAATTTCATCTACAATACCACCGTGTTCTTACACAGAGTCCGATCTCTGCCCGATCGGCTAGGCCATCTCATTTGAGACATTACCCTTTTCAGTCAATCATCTCACATCGTACTTCTTTCATATATTTTCGATTCATTGGCACTAGTGATTACGATTACCAAGTCATTCTGGGCACTTGGCCATATTTCATAGTTCCAAACCCCTTTTCCACATTCAATATCATTATCATTATCATTATCAACAACAATAAGGCTTCCCATTCAAGACATTAAATTCACATATGAGCAATTTGAGAATCTTAGGCATATAGAGGCTTTTCATATAATTTGGCATAACAACCTTTATTTCAATCTTGACATGAAGTCTTAATATTTCTAACACATATTCCACATTTTTGAACACATCCTCAAATAACAAGATAACATGATGAAGCCTTTAGAATAAATATTGAACTTACATCCTTTAATACAAACACATTAGAAATCGCCAATTCTATAATGATCAAGAGCTTACTCCAATTATTCTAAGAAGAAGGGGGTTTAGCCAACATACCTCAATTGAGCTTCTTAAAACTCTAAGATATTCCGTCATATTAGCAACTTTAATCTATTTAAGCAATATAACAAAATTGAACCAAAAATTAGGAAGATGAACATGGTTTTAGCTCATTTGAGCATATTATCAAACATTAGGCATGCATCAATGTTTTAAGGCCTTTTTTGTGAAAGACTCCACCAACCCATACCCCATTATTTTCTATCATTAACTCACAACCTTCCCACATACCATAGGAACACATGCATGCAAGGTAAGAACTCCCATCCCCATGAATTACCTTACTAATGGCCCATTCTAATTACATTTTAAAATTAAGAGTTTGGGTGATAGAATCTTACCTCTTAGGAGGAAGACCTAGGTGCCTCTCTTGATAATATTCAATGTTTTAAGTGAGAATTGAAGAACAACTTGATGAAGATCACTTCCTCCCTCTAGGACCCTCTCTCTCACTCTAAAAATATCAGAAAATATGATCAAAATGGTCCATGGGATGTGTTTTAACGGAATAAGGTCGGGTTTATAAACCACAAAATTGAAGCTCCGGAACGGGTTCTGCGGTCGCATATGCGACCGCATAGTGGTTATGTGGTCCACAAAATGACCACGAAAATGGGTGCCAGAACTGGAAAGAAACTGACCTGGTGTGCGGTCACTATGCGGCCCGCAGACCTGTTCTGCGGTCGCATAGTGCACCACATAGCCTCCCTCCGAAACATCCCAAGGCGGGATATGCGACAAGAATGTGGCCCGTGAAATGGTTATGCAGTCGCATAATGGCCGTGAAATTGGCATTAAAAATGCCCCAGAAAACTGCCCCACTCTGCGACCAGTCTGCGGTCCGTAGAGTGGTTCTGCGGCCGCAGAATGGGCCGAAAAAATGTGTACTTTTGCCCAACATTTTCCTTCAACTCCTAGTGCATTATTCAATCCAAAAGGTCCGAACCGTGGCTCGCAAGCTCATCACGAAGAATTTCTACTATTATTAACCTCTACGCCTACTTTGGCATCACAGAATCCGGGTTTTTAGGAAAACCTTTACGGGGCCTTACATAGGATAATTTAGGTAGTAATTCCCTTGGTTTTTCTTTGGGCGTCGGGTTCTTTTCCAAGAGTGTATCCTGAACCGGGTATTTTACTTTTATCTTTTTAGGAGTAGGATAGGAAGAGAACTGAGTTGCTCTAGATATCTATGACATGTTTGGTGCTGGCACATTAGCCTATCACATGTGCTCTGTATTCCTGTTATATTTGATTTGAAATGTGATGCCTAAGTGAAATAAATAGCCTACTCTGTGACGCATGTTCTCAGTTGCTTGACTTGTATGTCACCTAGTGCAATATTGCTTAAAAATTCTCAACTATATGTGCTTGTTTGACTTAAGAGTTGAACAAAACCGTTTTGATTGTGTCATGTGCAACGTGTGTGTGAGGATTTGTGTTATTCTGTGCTATCCTGTGTAGTCTAGAACTTGTCCCGTGTATTAATCGAAGCGAAATCATTAAGTTGTGCTAGTATAGGAGATGAAGTAGGGGTTTCCTAGTTGATCATAGATGTGCTTGTCACTTACAAATAAAATTTTGCTGTTGCTAGCCCTTTTGATCCTGTAGACCTTTTCTTTAGCACCCACACTACAAGCCGTATCCTTATTTTGTTCTTATTTTGAGCTTGTTGAACCTTTACCTCCGAAGGCACTTAGTCGCTAAAAGAAGTAAGGTGATAGATTTGGGAAGTCGCTATAGACAACTAATGTTGATAGTCAAAAAGAAGAAAAACACATACCTCCTAGTCTTACTAATCCGTGCTAGTGGGGAATGTAGAAGTGCTTAATTGAAGAAAGGGCTATGTTTTGTATGGTTTGTGGTGAGTGAATTGGTTGAAATAAATCATGCTCGATTCTTGAGTGTAGTGTATTAAAAGTGTTTAAGAGGGTTAGTCACTATTCCTAAATGTATCATACCCGTCCTATAGCCTATTTTACAACCCATAAAGTCTTAGTTGATCCTAGACTTGGCTAGCTTAGATTAGTAGATATGTACACTACGAACAAGCTTATGGTACGACCACAGGATGCACATGAAGTTCTTTGTGAGAGTGAGCGACTTTTGTTCAATTGTGTGATGTCCTTAATTTATGTTCAAAGTCATATTTGAATGTGCAGACTATTTCTATATTCACTCTCTTGTTTTTTGGTGAGTGTCACGCCCCAAAATCGTGGAGCGCGACCGGCGCTCAACCGAGTGAACCCGACTGAGCAAGCCTGTTAGATTTCTTCTACCCAAACTCATTCATGAATAAAGAGAATATATGTTTTCCTTAATTAAAAAATAAAGTGGTCGTGTCTGCAGTTACCAATTTCTTACCATAAGTTTCACCATTTTTAAAGTCTCAAATGGACAAGTAGTACAACTACAACATAGCATAGTTTGTCTTTCCTAGTACCAATACACAACCCACACTATGTCTACAGAGCCTCTATAGATAAAGAAGAGTACAATGATAATGCCGGCAACAAGGCCCCAGCTATACCTCAACCATAATACATAAAGATCAAAATATACATGACCCCGGGATGA